GAGAAATATAAACATTTATACAATAAAAGAAAAAAAATAAAATTTCATAAAAAAATAGAAAAAATGAAAAATGAAAGTAAAATATGAAAGTTGATAAATAAATATGAAAAAAACATTGTATGATAAAAATGAACATTATAAGAAAAATTATTTCACAGGAAAAAAACATTAAGAGGAATAAAAATATATATATATTATGTATATATACATATATCTATATAAATATTCTGGAAAAAGTCAAAGAAAATAGAACAGAAAAAAATATTAAATAATGAACATATTAAATATTATATTAATATTAAATAAGTCTTAAATAAAAAAGAAAAAAACAAAAATAAGTTTTATGGATTTAAAAATAATTTTTAATATGAACAGAAACAAGTTATAAGAAATAATAAATAATAAAAATAGTGAAGAATTGATAGAAAGAATTAAGAAAATATAAAGAGATGAAAATGGATAAAAAGAAAGAATTTTGAACAAGAAAAATAATGAGGATCTATGTCTGTTCAATGTTTAACTGATCTAAAAAAACTAAATAGAAACAGATTGGATAAAATGAGAATAGGAAAAAGAGAGTATATAATCTGATATATACATATAATGATATAATGTTAGTAGATTATTGTAAGAATAAAAGAAATTATAGAGCAACAAAATAAAAGAAAAGAAAAATAAAGAAGAAAGATTTGAAAAAAATAACAAAAAGATTGAAAAAATAGATTAAAAAAAACCTAATATTGAATCTAATATTGAATCTAATATTAAATATGAAAAAATCAATAAATTTTAAAAGAAGAAAGAAAAGAAATAAAACATTCATGGAAATGCAAAAAAAAAACAGACTGAAGAATTAAAAAAAAATTTAGATTACATCATGGACAACAGCAGAATAAAAAAAATATATATAGAATAAAAAATAAAATGAAAAAACAGTGGCAATAAAAGAAAAAATTTGAAATATGAGAAACAAGATATTTAACAATAAAAGAAAAATATTAATAAATTATTGATTGATAAAATTGAATAATTGATGTAGCCAATATTGACATAATATAGAAACATGAGAATCAAAAAGAGATAAAAGATAAAAAAATACAAGAAATATATATGAGATGAACATTAAAAAATAGGATATAAATAATAATATATATATATTTTTATTCTTTTTTTTAATTCATCCTTATATATATGTATATATATATTATGTATATAGTAGAAAAAGGAAGAATAAAAAAAGACAAGAAAATAAATTTTAAAAAAAGAACTTAAAAATTAAAAACAGAAAAAAAAGAATTACTAGCAAGAATATATATAAAAGAAATGAAAATGGAAAATGAAATAAGAGGGAGAAATGAAAAATTGCAGAAAAAAAAGGATATTAAAACAGATTATGAAATATAAGGAAAAACAGAAAATAAGAGAGAATAAAAAGAAGAGAAAGAGAAATATAGAAAAAAGAATATAATGATCTCTAGATGTAAAATATGAATAATAAAAATAAATGAAATACTAAAATATTTAGATAAATATTTAGAGGAGATGAAAAAAAAATGTATAAATTATATGAAAATGAAATAGAATGTGAAGAATAATGGCAAGAATTCTGGAATATAAAAAGAAATAATTAGAAAAATTAAAAAATAATAAAAATAAGAAAAAAAGCACAATTAAAAGAGAGAATGAAAAGAATTAAGGAAAAAATGAAAAGAATGAAAAGGAAAAAAAAAAGAAATTTTCTTTCTTTGAGAATCAAAGAGAATCTTTGAGAAATAAAAGAATGAAAAAAAAATGATTTCAAAGAAATGGCTAATAAGGAAAAATTAAAAATCTATAGAAAATTATTAAGATGAAAAAGAAAAATAGAGAAGATATGAATAAATTTAAAAGTAGAATAATATTGAAAATGAATGAAAAAAAGTAAAAAAAATTTAAGAAAAAAAAAATAAAGAGTGGAAACTATATATCATTTTGATTGTATAAGTTAAAGAAAATGATTATAAATTTAAATTTGGTTCCAATTTTTGTAAATATTTTTAATTTTCTTTAATTTCTATATTTTTTTATTATTAATTTAGTTTTAAATTTTAAGTTCTTTAGTATGTAAATATGTATATGTAAATATCTTCAGTATGTAAATATTTGACAGAAAGTTTAATTAACTTCAAATAATAATGAATTTAAATTGTTCTGATTTTCTTGCAAGAAATATTTTCATTTATTATTTGTATTATATAAATGTCTTATATAATTCAGAGAAAAAATATATGAAGAATGTAATAATTTTTTATAATAATATAATAATTTTTTTATACAAATTTCTAAAATATAAAAAAAATCAATAAAATATAAATATTACGTCCAAAATAATTCCTTTTTGTTATATGTAATTTATTAATTTATTAATATAGTTCTTATAAAATTTCAATTTCTATTAATTTTACACTGAGAAAATACATTATATTTTATTTAGTTCGATTTTTTGTTCATAAATCATATCTAGTACCTTTTTCGATGATTGGCAGTTTTTAATAAAGAGGATCTGTAAGAAATCCATTAGAAAAAAATATTGACATCATTTTTTATCCATTTTTTATGACTATGCATGTTGATATCCTTCGCCTTGCGAATATCGTTGAATATCATTTACAATTTCAAAAACATTTTTTACTTTTAAAACATATTTGAAATTTTCACTGATGATAATTTTTATCATCGAATTTAATAATCGTAATTATATTAAATGACATTGATTCTCGAAAAAACTAGATGATATATGATACTAAAATTTGATGCACTTACACAAAGGTTATGTAAAACACGTGACAGAAAATATTTTTCTTTGTTATTTTTTGTATGTATGAACAATTTTTTTATGCATAAAGGAAATTTTAAATTAATAATCTATTAAACAAAGCACACTCGAAGCACACAATCTTTTTATAACAATAACATAAACTAGTTTATTTAATAAAAGAATACGAATGTAATCATATAAATCACATGATTAAGATTTTTCATTTATCTATCTAAAAACATTTTTTTTCAAGTTTTTATATATAATCCCAGATGTCACTACAAACTATATATGTATAATTGCAATATTTAAAATTTCTAATAGTATAATTTTAAAGTTATTTATTGAAATAACTTGTTAAAATAAATTATTTGTTGTACTAATTTATTCAAATTTATTTTAATTTAAATTATAATTCTAGAATATCTATATGCAGATCATTTATATTAGCTTCCAATCAAGAAGTTTAGAAAATTTGATACCACATCACGAATCTAGCATATTTGAGCATGTTTGGCATATAACTTAAAAAGAGAAAAAAAAAATATCTTAGCAATCTTATTAATTTTATGTTAAAAAATAAAAACATATTGACATATATGCTATTTTAAACGGGATATTTTATAATTTGAATCATCATTCAAATTAATTATGATAAATTATCATAAAATATAATATATAATCGAATAATTTATTATATTTTATTATATTTTTATTTTTATTCGATTAAATATAATAAATATATAATGTGTGTATATATATATATATATATATATATATATATATATGTAT